GGCATCGGCTTCAGCATCCTTCGTTTCACGAGGGCACCATCATGGCAAGACATGCCACGTTAACAAAGCATGACTAGATGGCAGACAGCAGCTGGCACTGCTTCGTGTTTATGTTTAACATATAGGTTCCTGTTTGACATTCCATAGTCCCATTTTTGCTAAACACTAAAGTACACATTTTAGAGATGTTGCCATAATTCTTTCTCCTATCTTGTTTTCCCTTAACTTTTCACGTGGGATATTTAAATGTCTATGAATTTTGACCCGTATTCCCCTTTATTATTCCATCAACTGAAAGAGAAACGTTGTCTGAGGATCAGTTTTGGATGAACAGGTGAGCAAGGCTACAGCACTTCAAGAGCATAAGACATACCCAGGGGAACAAGTGGCCCTGCTAACAGTGATGCAGAAGCTAGCAGCACACAGAGGGCACCTGGGGAACTGGAGAAGGTTTGTGGAGTCGGGAGAGAAAAAGAGGAACTGCGGTTGAAGAGAGGACAGAGGGCTGGAATCACGGTCTGGCTGGTTCTCCAGGGAGAGAAATAGATAAAGTTACCAGGGAGAGATGTGCATAAGGCTCTTCAGAATTAAATATATAGAACTGTGGTCAAAGGGGTTCGGAAAAGAGGTAGAAATCATTATTAAATTGAATGTGAAGGCCAAACCAAATATTTATTAGAGAGTATAGATTTTTACATATAAAGCTTTGACATATGAATTTTTCTGAGCCTTGAGGAACATTCACTGAAAGGGTGGTTTTCTGATAGAAGTGGGTTCTGAGGGGTTATGAGGTTAAGCAAAACCACAGCCCACTGATGAATGATGTGCCTACCTATGAGACGCCACAGCAATTCACCAGCGAGTTTTCATCAAGGTCTCTCAACAGTAACTTCCAATCACAATCAATTCTTTTCCACAAGATAAATGTTGCTCTCAATTTTCTCTAAATCTAATTACGTGGCATAATTAACAGTCTCAGGATAATAGCTATGGTGGTCTCTATTGTTGGTGTTACACTGGAGTCCCCACATTTTTGTATTGTAAGCCTTGCTAAAGGCCTTGAAGCTAAAACACTTCATTACACTGAAAAAAAGGCATGAACCTACTCCATTTAAGCCAGAGATTCTCATCGGTGATGATGATAGCTGTTGTTGACTAAGAGCCTAATGTGGTCCATGAACTGCAACACACGCTTCATACACAATTTCCCCCTTATCCACAATAACCCAAGGAGATGGGTCTTGCTTTTTCCATTTAATAATTTGATATCATCTAGATCTGTGGAGCACTCAAGAGCATGATACATTTCAGAATGGTAAGAACAGATGGGAAAAATGAGGACTTTCCAGGTCCTCCTGGCCATGTCTAGCAAATAAGCATCTATTAAATGACTGAATGATGTAACATCTGTTGACAGTCCACAGGCTAAATAGACTGTGAGGAATCCAAAAAAATACAAATAGTTTATAGGGAGATTAGGAAATATGTGCATAAAGAGTGAGAGAAAAATCCAGGTTAACATAAAAAATGCAAAGAAAAAAATTCCACACAACAGTAACATTCTTTTTTGTGTATGTGGCACAAAGTCCATAGTAGGAACTCAATAAACATTGAATTATTTAATAAATGAATGAAATCAACCAACTAACCAAATGCTAGATTGTGTGGTAGTGACTCTAAGAATTGAAATAGTCTAGAGAGGAAATTTATTATGGACTGGAGTAGTGAGCTGGGCCTAGGAAAATGAGAAACATTTGAATGATATACAGGAAAACTGAATTCCCACTGGGTACAAGAGATACCGTGGGCAGGCCCAGACCCTCTACCATGGCCCGCTTTGCAGCTCCAGCTCCCATCCTTTCTCTACAGCTGCTGCTTCGTGGGCTTTTGCCTTGAGCCCATCGCTTCTGTTCCGATTTGCCCTACACTTGAGCTCTGCCCAGTTAGTTCTCAGAATGTCTTGAAGTTGGCATCTTTGGATTAACCAGGAATGCCTCTGTCCTTTGGTGTGGAGTGGAAAAATAAACAATGTGTGTCCTATGGATGATTCTGGGTTTTTGCAAGCAAAGTAATAAATTATTCTAAATGGGGCAGAAATGATGACGAATATCTCCCACTCCCAAGCAGCTGTGAAGATGGCTTCCCATGGAAATTTTGGCATTGGAGAGACCCTCTCCAAACTTCCAGAAAGACATTCCGAGCAGGTCCTCACAACAACCTTTCAATTCCCCTTGTGCCTCGGCCACAAAATCGGGGCCAATATAAACCCAGCCTACTCAGACATTGGCGACTGGGGCTCAACACAAAACCTTGGGTTCCTCCATACACTGAGGTTTTGTTTCCCAGGCGTCAGAAAGGCATCTTCTAGCTCAGGTTTCCTGAACTGTTTCCAGCTTGGCTTCTGTCAGAGATTCCTGGAGTCAGAGCCACTTGGTAATTGGTCTCATGATAGGTAAAGCTGCCCCATATCAGAGCCATGAATTGGTTGGACTTTTAGAAAAATACTTATCTCCAGTTGTGGGGAAAAATTGTTGATTGTGGTATGACCACATGCTTCATATGACCCGTTGCTTTTTTTATTCGAAAAAGGCTCCTAATGCTACAGCATTGTGTGTCAGAGTCTTGCCCTCTTTGATGCTGTTTTTCAGGAACAATAGGAGACACAAGGAGCCCTGCTCAGCAGCAGATCCGCTTTTCTGCGGCACAGCTCACTTTTATAGGGAAGAGAGTGGTTTCGCTTTGTACAGGGTTGAGAAACAGCTTCTGTTTGCTTACGGCTCTCCTGACGGTATCAAGCAGTACCGTCCTTGATAGAAAAGAGGAGCTGCCAGCCGCTGTGTTATCTCACGAAAAAGACAACTGTAAACTATGTCAGCATACGGTGCCTTGTATTTCTACAATAGCGTTTCTGCCCTTCAAGAGCAAAGAAGTGCACAGAAGATCCTAAGAAATAAGTGAAGGAACAAGGACGGAGTATGAAACTTTAACTAGTCTGAGAAGGAGGCAGACAGGGGCCAAATCCTGCAGTGGGAAATACAGTCTTGAGGTTTGGGTGCCAGTCTTTAATAAAATACTTTCTTGTGAGGGCTGAAACTTTTTCCCCCTGGGTTGTAAAAACCCTGGGTCTATGAATCCAATGTTTTGATGGCCACAATCCTGATATTTTTTTGTATAATAGTTAAAAAAATTCACTCTGTCATAGGAGCAGAAACAAAACAATAATGCAGGAAAAGTCTATATGGATCTGGAGGAAATATTTTTTATTACCGAGATCAGAGCATCCACTATCTGGATCATACAACTCTGGCTAATTTTACTTCCTGTCTGGGGTACTTTTTCTTAGTAAAGGTGTGGGGTGGGGAGTCTTAACACTTAATAGGCCTGCCTTCCCTGAAGTTCCCAGATTGCCCACATGAAAGCTGTCAGCACGCGCCAGCCCTCCACCGAAGAAGGCACAGGTTCAGGACCTGGCACCATGTAGCCGAGTGGCACTGCTCCCAGAACTCTCATCCAATAAAGAGCCATTGTGGGATCTGGACCCTACAATGTACAGGACAAATGACCGAAATGAAAAGCACAATGCACTTGAGTGGAACCAGAAACTTGAATGGAGTGGTAATCACTTCCTTAGTGCAGATCACATCATTTATCATGGGACTTCATTCTGTAATTCAGTCCTTGCCTAGTGTAATAGTACAGATTTCCATTTATCAGTTGATAAGTGAGAATGATTACTGTGATAACCATTAAGCAACACAGGTTACTAGTGGTGGTGGGGAAGAGAAGTGGAAAATTGTCATGGGAGGTGGGAAGGGATCAGCACTCATCAGAAAGAGACAAAAACATCAGAAAAGAGAAAGAAGGGCTGATTCCATTAAGCAGCACCATTCCTAGCAGTGGTGGGGAAGAAAAGTGAAAAATTGTTAGGGCAAGTGGGAAGGGATTGGCACTCATCAGAAAGAGACAAAAACACGTGCAAAGACAAGGAAGTGCTGATTCTGTATGTATGTGATCAATACAAGCTGCAGTTGAGCTATTGAAGAATTTGAGACTATGTCTAATGGCATAAGAAACTAAGTCAGGCCCAGGGCTTCAAAATAGCTGTGATTTCTATGTGGGAATGAGGAATGAGGCACAAAGTGGAGTTAGAGCCAGGGGGAAAGGTGGAGCTTAAGGGGAGCTGCTGTACAGCTGATACCCAATGTGAGCTTTAGGTCCCAGAGGCTGTAGAGCTAGAGCTTAGATCCAAATACCAAGAGGCTGGGAGGAGTAAGTGCACTAAATCAGGTTGAACCATAGTTTCCATCTGGGTGACACAGAGTGACTCTTTCTTTATACAACAGCCAACCTCACTACATTAAAAAACAAAACAAACAAACAAACAAAAACCAGATGTTGCTCTTAGCTAAGCTTTCTCAAGCAAATAAATATGAAGGGGCAGTAGAATTAGACTTCATAGAGCAAATGGAAAATGCTCTGTCAGCTGGACGATTTATTGCATTCCATATTCTTCTGTTTTAGAAACAGGTTTTTCTCTCTCTAAGCCAACTATATTTTTAGCTAATCAGTTTCGACCAGAAACATGGTCTGTCTCAAATAACCCTCTTTCTTTACTATCTGGAGCCTGGAATTGGTCGCAATTTCTTAGCAGAGTTACTTGGTCTACTTATTTTCAGACATAATATAACTATCAACTAACATATGTCTATATACATGTACCATTTGAACAAAAACATCCTCATATCTGTGAAAGCATACAAAAATTTCAGCTCAAAGGCCATTTGATTCAATGCCAAATGACAATTTTTCATGTGTCTATTCGGCTAGCATGGTTCTACCTCTGTAAGGAATCTGCAATGTTGGTAAGTTATTTTAAATGTGTATCAGTAGTTTCTTTCTATTTATGACATTATGCCTTTGGAGTGGGTAGATTGTATCTGGTTGAAAAATACAAATAAATATTTAATCCAGCATTGAGTTCTCTCATGTTATCAACTCACCAGAATTAAGCAAAATAATAGATTTGAGGCACACAAACTCCTCTCCCTGCAGATTCATCATGCGGAACCGAGATGATGTGGCCAGCAACATGTCGAAGATCTCCACCATGCCCTCTACACATTTTCCCTGGTTCCTGTGAAAACATAGCAAAAACAAATAAAAAGATTAAAAAACAGAAAATCTTCCACAAGACATGAAAGGGTTCATATTCATAAAAATCCACTGGTTCTAAATCTTTAACAAAAAACTATCAGCCATTGTCTTCATGGAGTATGAACATTCATTTGAATTCCAGAAGGCAAAACAAAAATATAATTTCCCATCAATAAAACATTCTCATTTCAACGTCTTAGAAGAGGTGGATAGTTCAGTCCTCAAGTCTGCCATGTTAAATATGGAATTCTTCAACCTATGGGTAATGGAAAATGATGAAGATTTGGATAAATGATTTATCTAATACACGTATATTGATCTGCTACTATATTCTAGATAATGTGGTAGTTCTGGGAATAAAAACACGGCCTCGGCTCAAGATGCTCATGGCCTTCAACTAATATAACAAGTCCTGATAGATGTGTTTTGTGGTACTTTTGAAGTACAAGAACAACTACAATAACTATGGGCTGTGGTTGGGCTGAGTCCCTTGGTGTTGCAGGGGATGGTATGTAAGGATTCGCCTAGTAGGTGGCATTCGAGTGGACGCTTTAAGATAATGTAGGGTTTCATCAAGCAGAGGTGCAAATGCCTCCTTGGAAGAGGGTCCTAAACATGTGAGGAGGAGCATGAAAGAACATAGAGCAGTGTGTTGGAAGTCAGGAGGTGGCAGATTAATCTGGGAAAACAGAAAAATTTCAGATCATGACATTTTTAGAAGTCCAGGCTTTTAAGCTTGGCATCAAGAATTTAACATTAGTAGTTGCAACTATTAAATAAGTAAACCAAAGGTTCATAACGTGCAGTACTTAAAAACATGTGTCTGTATCTTTTCCATAGGGTTGTTGAAGAATTTGAATGAGATACTACACACGAAAGGAATTCATTCATTTTTTTTTTGTTTTTTAATCACAGGTTGAATTTTGGCATGATGTGTTTGAGGGGGTTAGAAAGAAGTTAAAATATTTTATGAATGCACAGATATAGATTTGTGAAATATATAAACAATTAAAATAAATAAATTAAAACTAAACACATTGTTTAGCACCTTGTTTTGTTTCTAGTTAATAGATCTTGGAGTTCTCCATCAACTTTTTTTGACAGCTCAGTATGTTTTCACTGAACAGAATGCTAAACTTTCCTTAATCACTTCTTTCTTGGGTGACATTTCTTTCTTTTCAAGTATTTTGTTGCTAAAAACATTTCATTCAATGACTATCCTTATGTTTATGTCTTTGGATACGTGTACAGATAGCTATAGAATAAATTCTTAGAAGTAGAATTGCTAGATAAAAGGGCTTATGAATTTTAAATTTTGATAGTTCAAACATTGCTTTCAAATGGCTTATACAATAGACTGTTGATAAGAGAATATATTCGTATAGGCTTTCTCTAAACTGCCTGCTCTTGTCCTTTGCACATATTTTTCTGTTATATGTCATTGTCACATAGATTTTTAAGAGTTCTTTAAATACTATAGTAATAAGCCATTTGTCATATGTATTTTTAATTGTTTTTCTTACGGTTTTTTTTGTTTTTTCTTCTGATTTTGTTTCTGGTATTTTCTTCTGCAAAACATTTAATAGAGAATTAAATTTACCGAATGTTTCATTTATGGCTCTAGAACATTACGTCTTGCTTTTAATAGCAAAGACAAATAAAAAATTTACATATAAATATATATAACACAAAAACATATAAAAATTTTCTTATATTTCCTTCTAGTATACTTCCATGTTTTCATGTTTAAATTTTTGATCTTCTGGGGTTTATTCATTTGTATAACAATGTTATTGAAAGATAATCACATAACATATCATTTGCCCATTTAAAGAGTGTGAATCAATGGATTTCAGTATATTCACAATGTTGCGCAACCATTTTGGGGGATTTATTTTGGTGTAAGGTATGAGAAAAAGATCCAATTAATATTTTTTCAAGTAGCTCATTAGTTTTCCATCTTTTTCACAGATGTTCTTTTCTTTGACTTAAAAAATGTTGATTACTTCTGATATATTCATATACTTCTTACAAGTGACCTCTAAGATTAGCATTATTATTTCCATTTTCCAAATGAGGGGATTAGGACTCAAGATTGTTACATCAAATCACATTGCTTACCAACCCAAAGAAAGAATTCCAACAAGAAGATCTTCTCTGTCTTTAATTCTTGTTCTACTTTAATTCATTCAACAAGATTTACTGAGAGCCTATTACATACTAGTCCTTATGCTCAACATTAGAGTACCGAGAAGAAAGCCATGGGCACTGTCAATAAAGAGATCTAGAATGGGAACAAGACAGACAAGGAGAAAGCCAGGTGCAAGACACAGGAAAAGGTCTAGAAAGAGAGCTTTTTGCATCTAACGTCAGTCTCCCCAGATTCAACCCATCTCAATATTGAAGCAATTGTCATCCTGTTCCCAAATAAAGTGAAATGAGGTTTTTTTATGTAAAGTGCATGGAATGGAGTGTGGCACACAGTAAGGACCACCTTTAAGTATTACCTATAGATATACTGATAAATACATGGATATGTCAAGGGAGAGGTTGGCCTTTTAACTTGAAGGAGTCAGAAAAAACTGCCATGTGCATTTTGCTTTGACTATGAAAATCTGGATGCATGGAAGCTCCATAGAAGCAGAGCAGGAACTTCGAGAGGTATGCTGCCCAACGTGGGGCCGACAGAGTGCTCACACCAAAGGCTCCACTGGCATTGAGTGGGGAGAACATACTAGAAGTGGGTTCTTCTTGTCATGGAGTTGAATTTTTTTTAAGTAGTTCATCTTCTTTCTAGTGAAAAAATAAACAAGGATAGGGGAAAATGTTTGGAGGATGAAGCTTTAAAAATAACAACTCATAGCCAAAATAGAGAAATGTTCCTTTCTCAGTATAAAGTCTCTGTTTACTTAACAGACTGCACACCGGCAGGGGAGGAAGTCTCAGTGTGGGAGGGAGCCTGTGTTCACCTGCTGTGAGCAAAAGTTCAGTTCAGAAACTGAAAAAGTGGAGACTTAACAATTCTCCTTTCTTCTTGTCCTTTTTCAATCATCTCCCATAGTTTCCCATGAAGAGCTCGTTCTTGACTCTTCCAGCAAGAGTGTATTTTTCTGAGCCTCTTCTCGTTGGATATCCTGTTATTCCTAACCAGCAATTATTACTTGTCAACAATATAACGCTTGCTCTACGGCACACATTAGGAGCTGTAGACTGTACCTTCAGGGATGGTGTATACCCCAAACTCTCAATTCAGTTCTCACACGTGTGTGTGTGTGTGTGTGTGTGTGTGTGTGTGTTCCTTTAGGGGATGTGGAGAGGGCATATGTTGACTATTAATCATAGACATATTATGATAGGAAGACCTCAGAGCCTACCTTCCATGCAAACACATGTGCTTCATGTTTTGGTGGTGTGCATCTGAACTGTGAGGACTTCTGGGAGGATATTCAAAGCAATGAAGCTGCACTTTTCTAAGCAGTGCTGTTTAGAGGCTACAAGAAGTTTATCTTGATATACTCTTACGAATAAAATCACTCTGTTTTTCAATGGGAGCAACTTAGTTGGTCTAAGCACTTTAGCGAATCCACTATTTGTATAATAAGTAAAAATTATGTACTTTGATGACTCTGATGATAGTTTTGTTAAATTATCCAAATGTTGCCTGAGTCTCAATGACTGGCCAATTATGTGGTAACTATGGGTCCCTCACTAGCATTTTTACAAGGTGAAAAGGCTTGCCACGTGAGCTAGTGAAAAAGTGATTTGTCAACCTACAATCTGGCACAAATCTATGTGGACTTTGAAAATGAGATAGATACTTGTCACCTGCCTGATGCAAAGAAACTCTTCAGTGTCTACTGAGGTCATTATGCATTGTGGTCAGGGCTTCATTTTCAAAGTCTAGCCAAAATACTCTATACTAACTTCAAGGAGCAAGTCAGACTAGAGCATTTAGCTCAGTTTCAGTGGGTATGGATGGATCGCTGGCATCAGAAATGGGGTGATTACTACAAATCTGGAGGTAACATGACTGTAAAAGACAAAATTAGTCTAAATCCATGAGGTGCTCCTGAGGCTGAGAAGCACGTGGGGTATGGAAAAACAAGATTTATTTTTAAAGGAAGCACACAGCTCCAGTTATAGATCAGGAGTAGTTTATCAAGCAGACCAGCCTATGACTCCCGCTGTGAGACGTGACAGCCTGCAGTGATGAACTTCTCTACGGATTATGTCAGTCTGGTTTTCAGAGCACCTCAAAATCCCCTTGTGGGGAGCCTTGTTCTGCTACTTATCCTCTTCAAATGTGGTCCATTTGCACTTAAGTAATGGGGGAAAGAACTAGACTTGACAGAGCATTTGCTCGTGGCATGTTCTGGAAGTTTCTCCTCTATAAAAATAAAAGCCTGTTTTTTCAGAAGCCCTAAGGCATCTCTTCCTCCACATGGAAAATAAAGAGCTCTAATGAGGGTGTGCAGACCAAACCCTCACTTGTATATCTTCAAAAATATGCCTTACAAAATGTAAGGTTACCCATTAGCATCTCTTCATACAAAAGGAAACTGATAAATGGAAACTGAGAAAACCCAGGGGATCAACATAAGACATTTAATTTAGCTGTCCTGAAAAAAAGTACAATATGGTTTTTAAAAGGTAACAAATTAAGATGCTATTCAAAATCAATAGTGGCAAGATTGTATGTATTTAAAGAGCTTCTTTATCTTCAACACTACAAAATCTCTCAGCATGTGCTCAAAATGCTGAGACTCCATAAATATTTATATGATCAAGAGGTTTACATATGCAGCTCTGAAGTATGGAAGAAAGTGATGAAGATGGAAATTGTAAGTGATATATCTTGAAAGATGCAAAATTTAAAATGAAAGTTGTTTAGACTCTTGAGTCCAGCTGCCTGGGTTCAAACCTTGATGCCACTATTTACTAACTTTGTGACCTTGAACCAATTACTTAAACTCTGTGTGT